CAATTTTAAGTGTGGGGTGAGGAGATTGTCTGGGTGACTTTCTATGCTATTTTAGTTGTGTTACTTTAATTGAATAATTTTTTTAATTTTTTTAGAAAAAACAAAAAAAAAGGATTAGACTTTTCCCGACGATGGATCTATTAGACAATTTTCTTGAGGGATTTAAGTCTAAAGAAAAAAAAATAAAAAGATTTTCTTTTATTAGGTAGTGTAGCAATTACCCTTTGGTTTTTCTTTAAACCACGGTTCTTTTCCAAGGGTTTTATTTGAACCGGGTGTAGTTAGTTTTTTTAGGAATAGGACCATTGTGTTGTGTTTTGAAATGAAGCAATATCTCTTGACTTTGTTATGCCTTGAGAATAGTGAGTACTTTGGTTGTGACGCTTAAGCTCAGTTTTTGACTCTTGTATAAGTACCTTAAATTGTATGATCTTAACCTTTCTTAACTGCTTTGACTAGAGTGTCTTGATGAAACCAATCCTGAGTAAGTTATGTGCCATGTGTGTGTAAGGATTTGTTATATTCTGTGCATTGCATTTGATGCCTAGAACTTGCCCCGTCTGTTTGCAAAGCAAAATAGTAGTTTTGTTCAGTCTTGGAAGTGATATAGGCGTTTCTTTGTTGAGCCAGATATGTATATTTTATCCGCCTAATTGTTATGTATCGTAGTTAACCCCTTTGAGCCTGTAATCTTGTTTTTTTGGCAACCACATTACAAGCCTTACCCATTTGTTCGAATTAACCATCTATTTGAATCATTGTAACCTCTCATGAGCACTTGAATTGTTAATGAACTTTGTAAAGGTTAAAGTGTGGGGTGGTTGGTTTGGCTTTTGAGTGGAACAAATTAAATAAGGAGAAAGGTGCACTGTTTTGAAAAAGTAAGAGCCACTTGAATTAAAAAAAAAGTAGTTGGATTGTTGTGAAAAAAAATTCCTTGATAAGTGGTGGCTCTTGATGTAAGTGCACTTAAAAAGAATGGGGTAATATACATTGATGTGAAAGTGGAGTTTTGGTTTGACATAAGTATTGTGTTTGAATGTTAAAGTATATGTATTAAAGTGCTTAGGGAGGTGTAGTCACTGTTATATATAAATGTATCCTACCCGTCCCGTAGCCTACATTATAACCAAATAAAGTCCTAATTGATCTTAGATTGAATGAGCTTTATTAGTGGAGTAATACACTACGGGCAAGCTTATGGTGCATCTTTTGTGGCATATGAATATTATTTCTGAGAGTGAGTGAATTCTTTCTATCTTGAGTTCCTAAGTGTTCTTAAATTTTATTGCATGGAACTACTCTCTTTTGTTGTGTGAAGGCACTTGATTCATGAAGAAAAGGTAATGTCAGTGACTTTTATGTTAGAGTAAGTAGGTGAGTTGTGAATAATGCGTGGTACTTGTGAGTCAAATCTTGAGGTGAATATGTTACGCTTTTGTGTTTAGTCTATTTTAAATATTCTTGGTGTAATGAGTTAGGAAAATTTGTTTAAAAAGGTCGTGTCTATATAAAGTGTAGTTTGATTGCTCGAGGACAAGCAATGGTTTAAGTGTGGGGTGTTGATGATAGGCTATAATTGCGTATTTTAGTCGATTATTACACTCTAATTTATTGCACTTTAGTTGAGTTTGCGCTTTAATCGCTAAGTTTTGCACTAACTGTGTGTTTTATGCCTTGTAAGAGTGATTCCGAGCTATATAGATGTTATGTAATGAATTCAAGTGATTTGGAGCTTTGAAGTCTGAGTAAAACCCCAAGGAATTAAGCCGGGATCGTATTCGGGGATCAACGGATGATAAAGCAACAAAACGAAGACTCGAGTAGGCATATTGCGTACTGTCTAGTAAAATGCACATAACGTTTTGCTCAGAACTCCATTTGGGTTCCACAATATATGGTTGGAAAGATAACTCAAAGGGCTACATCTTTCATGATTTAGGTGTTTTCAAATTCCAAAGGTAACAGGGTGACAAGCGCGATGAAAATCGTGACCGCGGAGCTGAGGCAGGCTGAGGCAGTATACCTGCCATATACAGCGGTTGACCACGTTTGACCGCGGCCGCGGCAGTCCAGACGTGAAATATTGTCCTTTTTCGCATAGGAGAAGGTATAATTGTTTGGGTCCGACCCTACTTGGTATGTATACATGGAAAAACGGTATTTTTAAGGGTTGGACACACTTTTGACATAAAAATTAGACCTAAGGAGGCTAAGGAGAAATAGGATTCGACCTAAGGAGTCAAGAACACAATAGGAGCAAGGCGGGGAATTTTTCAACGAGTTTTCCTTCCTCTTCCTATTTTTCGTTGTTGGTTATGATTTTTAGTATTGTAGTTTTACATACTATTATGAATAGCTAAATTGTTATTTAGGGTTTTGATAGAACCTTTTGTAGGATAAATTCTTGTTATGTTTTTATATAATTGAGCCGTTGGATTTCTCTACTTGTTCAACTATGTGTTTATTGTTGTTGATTGAATGACCATCAATTGACTGTACCTATTTATTATGTGTTGGTTGAGAAAGGATACATATTTAGGTGATTGTTGAACAACGTCACTCCTAATGTATGTGAGAAATCAATACAGCGGGTTTAAAGGTAGGTTTAGAAATAACAAAGCCTTGACGTGGTCATAATAAGCGGTTAAATAAAGCCAACTAGGGTAGTTCGAGGGAATATGTCTAGTAAATTGTTGTAGTTGTTTGAGAGAGAATTACGATACCTAAAGTGCTCACGATCAATAGAGAATACATTGGCGGAATTGTAGGGAATATAGCTAGAAGGATTCCGATAATTGGGGAAATCATAACTCTAGACCTCTTTAATTTAGTCTCCAACCCTTTGTCTCGTTAGTTGATAATTTTACCGTTTTCTAATTTTTGCTATTAGTTAGAAATATAAATATCAATCTTTATAATTTAGAAAATTGTTCAAACTTGTCTTTTTAGTGATATTAAACAGATATAGCTAAGCCTTAGTTCTCTGTGGGATTCGACTCTGAACTTTTAGACCGGATTATATTTGCAGCGACCGCTTATCCTTTTTAGGACTAGAGTTGGACGTGATCAAAATCCAAGGGCAATTTTCTGGTCTTCAAGTATTCTATGTACTTGTTCCTCTAGTCACAAGTTAAACTTATTAAGTTTACTTCTGCGTGGCCTTCTTCTATCGCAGACTTCATGAGCTGAACTACTGTTCCTGAACTGAATTCGTTGGCATCAACCGACGACCCTAAGTTAGCCAGAGCATCGGCCTCACTGTTCTGATCTTGTGGTACGTGTTGCAGGGTCCATTACCTGAATTGATGCAGCGATGCCTTTAATTTGTCTAAGTATCTTCGCATCCGTTCTTCCTTTACTTCGAACATCTCGTTAACTTGATTTACCACAAGAAGGGATTCACACTTATCTTCGATCACCTCGGCCCCAAGGGTTTTAGCCAATTCTAGACCTGCAATCACGGCCTCATACTCGGCCTTATTATTAGTTAATTTCACAATTCTGATAGATTTTCTAATTACATTTCCCGTAGGCGGTTTTAATACAATGCTGAGCCTGGACCCCTTCGCGTTCGAGGCACCATTCGTGAAAAGGATCCAGATTCCCGGAATGGTCCCCGAGGTTAGCAGTAATTCCCTTTCGACTTTGGGTATTAAGGCTGGCATAAAGTCAGGCACGAAGTCTGCCAAAATTTGAGATTATATGGCGGTTCGGGGTCGATACTCGATATCGTACCCACTAATTTTGACGGCCCATTTGGGCAACCAGCTTGAGAGCTCGGGTTTGTGCATGATGTTCTCGAACATGTAAATGGTCACGACATATGTGGGTGGCATTGAAAGTACGCCTTTAGCTTTCTGGAGGCGCTTAGCAAAGTGAGCGCCAATTTTTCTAGGTAAGGATACCTTGTTTCGGCCTCGCCTAGAGTTCTACTAATGTAGTAAATAGGAAATTGCATACCTTCCTCCTAGATTAAGACTCCACTTACCACCACCTTGGAACCGCCAAGTAAAGGTATAGCTGTTGTTGATGCCCAATATTTATCTATATTTTTTATATATATGCATAAATACCTTCAAAATAGCATATATATGCATATATAAGCATGAACAAGGTTTTTATAATTTTAAGGATTTAAATTAATTTATTTCCTTCCTTTTTATTCATAAAATCCCCAATAATTATTCCTCAAATTATTTTTGTGGTAATTTAGTCATTTAGTTTCTATATTTATGTCAAAATATGGTTAAAATATTTTTTTATGTATTTTTATAATTGCATTTGGTGTTTTTAAAACTAAATTGCATATAATTGCAATATTAGCCTCATTACTGTATAATTGCATTTGTATGTGTAAAATTGATCTTCTATATTTTTAAAATTTTAAAAATATATTTTAAAACATTTTGGTATACAAAATTACTTTCCAGAAATTTTTTATCATTTATAATAAATTATATAGCGAAAATTGGCTATTTAACATATAGCCAGATTTGCCTTTCAATTGTAGCCCAATTAAACCCAACCCTAACCCAATTTCAGATTAAAACACCCGACCCAAACCCTAAACCCACCTACCCGACCCAATACCCATTTAATCATGGTTGTTGATCTAAGATCAACGGCCCTCATGAGTTCTTTCCTTTTTTATCCCAAACGACCCCTAACCCTATCTCATTTCTCAAATCTGCCGCCTCTGTATTCTCTCATCTCCTCTCCTCTCTCAACCTCTCAACCTAACCCTAGCTCATTCAACCGCTGACTCCCTTCTCCAGTCTTCTCCGGTGATCTCCCTTCAACTCCTAAGCCTCCAATGGCTCATCTATTGCCATGCTCGTCTTCTCTGAGGCCTTCAAGGGCCCTAGGCCACGATGACTTGCATCTAGGGTTTGCTATCTAGTATGTTCTTGGCTACTTCAGTATGATTTCAAGCGAAATCTTGCTGTACTTGTTACGATCTTGGAGATTTTAGACAAGTTCTTTCATCTTTACTTAGGTTTCTTCTAAAAACCCTAATTTTTGCTTACATCTCCTAGATCTGTACGATTCTTAAATGATTTGAGTCTGTTTCATTGATGATTTACACTCTCCTTGTAACTCTTTACAAGAATCATCGATTTCAAGTGTTTTCACCTTCTTCTAAAATTAGGGTTTTCGGAACTTCTTCTAAAAACTTGTTTAAACCGATTCTTGATGTATAAACTTCTATCTCTTGCATATTTCGACTGATTCTATGATTTTACTACCTTTTAAACTTGCCTATGTTGAAAACCCTAATTTCTTAGTTCCAATCTTGGGTTTCTGAGTTTTGTTTTTATAGTGTGTTCAGTTAATCTATATCTTTCTGTGATTTTGTGATTTTACCCTATGATTGCTTGCTAAGGTTCCTAATTATGATTATCCCTACCTATTGTGTGATTTTACCCGATTTTGTTCACCAATATTTCTGATTCTTCACTTCTCCTACCTTATCATGCTTATTCTACTAATTCAGACTATGCTCTACATGAATCCCTAATTTATATACGATTTTTGTCCTACTCGACCTCTTAGAGTTCTAGTTTTTGCTTACTATGTTCTTGTTCTTATAAAGTGGTGCTAAATCAGTGTTATCTTCTACTTTTGAATCCTTAAGTGTTTGTGATTGATTTTTTACTGATTTTGCGTGATATCGATACTGATTTTTAACCTTGTAAAATATTTTTTGACCTTATTCTACAGTCAATTATGCTATTAATTGATTTCTTAAGTCTTTTCCTTGATTGAAATATGCTGAACCTAGCCTCTATTACATGTTGGGTATTGGTACTATGCAGAAATATCTCCTTATTTGTTATGCTTGTCGACGCCCCCTTTTTCTATACGTGGGTCGAAATCGGGTATACGACATTGGGAGGACAACTCTATTCCCTTTCGAGAATTGGGTCTTAGAAGTTAAAGAGTCGCCACCTAATGATTATAGTGCATTAGGACACTTTTAAGAAAGGTTTGAGTTGGAAAACCAGAGTTCGGGTAAGGGCTAGAAATTATCTCGAGGGGAAGGTGTTAGGCATCCCTCAAGATCCACTAGTGTGGTCCCGGCCATGTTACAATTGTGACTTTACAAGTAAACAATCAAGGCTCAAATAAGGACTCGCATATAACATTGCAATTAGGTTGAAAACTTTTGAAGGCAAGTAGAGAGGGCAGAAATTTATGAAAAAGGATTTGAATAGTTTTACAAGAAGAGATGAAAGCAAATAAAGGGAAGGGGGTCCTAGGTTTATGATTAATATGGATCACTTCAATGCAATATCCAGCAATCACTCCTCAGAAGAGGGGTCGCACGTGATATTAGCGCACCGGTCATTATATCCATGTTCTACCCTTCCCACCCCGTTAAGGTATTAAAGCGCAGAATGGTATCATTACTTATTACATGCTATTACCCGCCCCAATCCTATCAGTCTCGGAGGCATTGAGACTACTAATCCTAAAGGGGAGGGAGTTGGGGCTTTTCAGAGTTAAAAAGGGTAAAAGTCTAAGGCGGCAAACAAAAAACACATAAGCAGTTAGGGGAAAACAAATAGCAGTTAAAGGCTCAAACAAACCTCCTCACTTAAAGATAAATTGTTTATCATGTCTCGCATGTACTGATTAGGTCTGAATTAAACTTAGAAAAAAAATGCTTGAGGACTGATTTATTACATATTTCAGATAAGAAATCCGAATCAGACCTGCCTGCCGGTTGGAATTATCAAAGACTGATGCAATTATGGTTTTACCCTAAAGCTTGCCTAGATGAAACCTATAGGCATGATATCTAACAATGCAGGAGAGAAATATACTAACTTTAGAGAGGGAGACTTATTATTGCAGGAACATGAGTTCTGCAGATGTTCAAGCATTACTATTTACCGATTTTAGACTTATAAGCAAGTTGAACGATTCTGATTTAGTTGATAGCTCCTATAGGCATGCTTTCTAGGCGTTATTGATTTTAAACGTTTATAGAAGTGCAGAAATCCTATAGACATGATATCTAAAATACTGATTGTTATTTAAACCTATATGCATGTTTGCCTAATGATAGATGCATATGCAGAATTCAGGAAGCTCTATAGATATGTCCTCTATATGATACGAAGAAATGTAGAAAACCTATAAGCATGGTCTCTATATGAGATGCAGAAGATATAGACATGATATCTTTGTATGAATTGCAGAGAACCTAAAACAGGATTTCCGAAATGCAGAACTTGCCATGATTTGCAGAAATAAAGACCTAATGAGCATGATATCTACCCTTATGCATACATGAGTGACCCTCCCCTTTTTCACTAAAACCCCATAAGTTATTACAAATTATTACAGCCCAAAATGAATAAAGAAAAGTAAAATAAAGTTACATCTGAAAGCTAAAAATCCCAACCAAGGAGAGCCTGATTCAGACTTCTGTCTGAAGCATGAAGTAAACCAACTCCAAAGATCAAATTCCAAAGCCTTTCTCTGATTTGGGATGTGTCAAAGTTCCCAAGAGCCTCAAAAGGACTCAGGGTGGTGCTGACACCCCAAATATATTGCGTAATTAGATTATAGTGCAGTGTAGAAATGCCAGCTCTCAGATGTCCAAGTTTAGAGGGAACTCAAGGTCCCAAAGCAAGGCTCAAAAGAGAGGGGCAGAACTTAAAATCTAAGACTAGGTGAAAGTGCAGGGGGAGGGGGAGTGATAAGCTGGTGGTCATGCCAAGCAACTTGAAGTACTGGCACACCCCTGACCAACTTGTCATTTCAAGTTAAGGAGTTAGGGCTTATTGAAAGCCAGGCTCAGCATACATAGGGAGCAAGGGTAGGGGATTCATAACAGAAACAGTAGACAAAGAAAAAATGGGCAAAGGACATGATCAGCAATAAAACATATTGACACCCTTTACTCGGGGTTAAAATTCAGTTCATGGACAACAACTTATGTTGCCATGCCCTGAATCCCCATTTACAAACACATAGAGGGTAAAGGTATAAGGATCAAGCATTCGCAAGAAAGTAAAGCAAACAACAGCATATGAACATGTCAAACTTTGCAGGTAATAGGCATAGATTTAAAGGTTCTAAGTAAACACATTAGGATGATTGCTAGGAACTGAATCAAGAGATACTAGTAAAAAATCAAGAGTAGAGCAAAGACAAAGTAGTAGCAGTATATTAGCCTTGACTTTCAGCCGGCTAATAATAAGCTGGAGCAGAGAACAGCAGTAGAAAAAGAGCAAGAGGGAATGCAGGTTTTGAGAGTAGTAGTGTGTGTAAGAGTATGGAATTTGAAGTGTTGAAAAAGTATTGAATTGTCAGTGTCTTAAAAATGCGGAAAGGTAGTCCCTTTTATAGTACAGAGAAACAAATAAGAAAGGTAAGAAAATAACTTGCAATCAATCACATAGAATTTCCCTTCAGTTAAGGGATTTGATTTCAAATGGGTAGAAGGTAATTAAGGAAAGAATTTTGGTTAAAAACTTTTCAAAGTAGCACAAAAGGGGTAAATACATAAAG